ACACGACCTAAAGCAAACATTTAGAAATGTGCAGCTCGTTGTGTGCACTCACAGTACTGCGCTACTCTTGGGGATCCCATCTGGGTTGTCCCCAAGAGTCTCATGGGTTCAGAGCTGGGGCTTTTAGAAGGCATTTGGATCCTGGGGCCCTGCACTCCCCAGGGGATTCGTCCCACCCACATGAAAGGCCACATCCGTTCTCCTTTAGACACCTGGGCCATCCCACCGTCGCGCCGTGAGTATTGCCACAGGGGCGTTATGATGTGGGTGCTGTTTGCAGGCCTCTTTTCAATGCTTTGTTTTTGTTTTTCCTTTTTCAGTCAGGGTTTCAATATGTAGTTCAGGCTGGCCCTGATCTTACTATGTAGCCTAGGCTCCAATTCACAGAGATCCTCCTGTCTTAGCCTCTCCGGTGCTGGGACGACAGGTGTGCGCCACTGGGCCTGAACAATCGTGGTTCTTTTGGGCACGCACTTAAGAGCAGAATTACTGGCTGATGTGATAATTTTAATGTTTCACCCCTTGAAGACCATTTTAAAGTAGTTTGATTCTAAATACTGAGCCAGGGAGTCCTGATCACCCCTTTGGCTGAGGACCGTTGTACCCAGATGGTCCAGGCAGGGAGGGTGCAGCCTCCAGAGGGAGTCTTGGGATGGCCAAGTGCTGCGGCACCTGCAGTACTGCCTCACACACTGTGGGGGCGCTCGGGAGGGAACCCAAATAGGCACTTTTCAGAACCAGAGGGCCTTCCTTGCTCTGCAGGGCAGGGGAGAGGCCCACGTCCAGATTCCCGTGCTTTGGAGGGTGGTATCCAACTGTTTAAGGTCAGATCACTCAGTAAAGTGACCCTGGAACAGGATGAGGTGACTGCAGGGGAGGCTGATCCAGGGTCAAGTTGAGGGGCCCAGAGAAGGGCTCAAAGGCCAGTGGTGGGCGAGAGTGAGCAGGAAGGCCGCCTGGCTGGCGAGGGCCAGGTCCTGGGTCAGAGAAGAGCCAGGTACTGATCAGCCTGTCAAAGACAGAACCAAGTGTGGAGGTGGGCTGAGTGGGTGAGAAAGGGCAGGCGGTGGGGCTGCAGGACACAGCCTTCCAGGATGTCTCACCTGTGCAAAGGCCCTGCACCCTGGCGGGGGTGGCTGGTGAAGGTGGAGCAGCAGGACCCAGTGAGGCTTGAGCGCTGCTCATTCTGGAACATGGCCAGCCGGGCTGCAGGTCTGTGTGCAGAGCCCAGCCTCTCCCCAGAGAGGCACAGGACGGAACCATGGCACAATCCAGGTGGTGCAGAGCTGTGCTGATGCTTCAGGACCAGGGAGTGGAACCAGCCAGGGTCTCAGTGCCAGGGTGATGGATGGTGACCTGTGGGGCCATCATAAGGAAGTCAGGGGCACTGAGTGACAGATCCACGCAGATCTGAACTGGATCCTGACCCCACCATGGCTCATATGAACCACCTAGGGTCCCTGCTGGCTCTGGCCACCACCTGGGCTCACTGCATGGCGGGGGTCACCTCCTGTAGGGGCTGGCAATGGGCAGCAAGGGGACTGCTGGCAAGCACCCCAGGATTTCAGGGGAAGGGCAGGGCTCTGCAAGGAGGGCCAGGCAGAGGATCCTGGGTGGTTGCCTCTTGTCTGGGTAGAGATGGTGCTGGCCTTGTGACCTTCCCTTAGGTCCATAGAGTCCAGGAGGGGTGGGGACAGGAACACCCTGGCTGTGGGGGCTTCAGACTCTGTGCTCATTGGCTGAGACATTGTGTGGGGTGTTGAGGGGAATCTGTGTAGAGTGAAAATCCTACTCCATCCCTCAGGTAGACAGGGGTCCTGCATCAGATTTGGAGGGGTGTAGCTGGGAGGATAGGTGTGGCCTGGGGGGGGGGTTGGCAAAGATCTCTAGGGCACACTGGGGGAGAGGAGAGGGTGCAGGGCATCCCAATGGAGGCTACAGGGAGCCCCAACAAGGGTGACTCTGAGGGGCTAGGAGAGGGAGTGGGCATGGAGGAGATTCCAGGCTTCACTGTCTCAGTATAAGAATACTTCTGCCCTTCTCCCTGTCTCCTGCCCTTGCGGAGGGCTGCAGCTGCAGCTGTACCAGGTGCATAAGGAACGGAGGAGCCTTCCAGAGGACCGTGGGAAAGGTGGCAGCCGAGCGCTGAGACCGGCAGGGCGGCTCCGCAGAGGGTGGTGTCTGTGTAAACACGGCCCGTGCTGGAGGAAGAGCCCAAGTCGGGGTGGGTCCCAGGCCCTGGAGGTGCCACAGTCCTGTGCCACTCCTTTCCCAAATCCTGGCTTCTGAGTAGAGGAAGCCCGAACCCCTGCTGTGTTCTTTGACAAACAACACTTGGGGCGAATTCTCAGGAACCACCTGCAAGTTGTAGCAGGCGCTGCTGCCAAGGAGGGAGGCAGGAAGGAGGCTGGGGATGCCAGGGGGTGCGGGGTGAGCCCTGGGGCGCTGACTACTCTGGTGCCCAGGAGTCACAGCCAGCCCTGCTGGCTCCTAGCGGAACTGAGCCACTGGCCTGCAGGAGTGGTCATCACTCTGGAGACCTTGAGGAGGACAGAAATAAAAGTGACAGTTTAAAACACCAGTAACAGGGCTGAGGAGATGGCTCAGTAGAATAAGCACTAGCCTGAGTTCAATCCCCAGTTCCATAAAAAAACAAAACAGTAAAAGTAAATGACCATACGGTCCACCCCCTGGCACAAGCCACACACTTTGCATTTCAGGGGAGCCCCACCCCATCCTGAAGATACCATACAGCATCTCAGGGCAAATGCGACCTGGGCCCAACCCCAAGTGAGGGGCTGCAAGCTGACTGCTCATCTCCTCTTCCTGCCACATTGCCCTTTGTCTGAAGCAAGGCAAGAGAGATCCAGATTGCCCTTTGTCTGAGGCAAGGAAAAGGAGGTCCAGGCACAGAGAGGGGCTAACCCTGGGGGCTTGAGGTTGCCCACTTAGAAGAGTTCCCAGAACGGCTGGTGTGAGAGGAACCCTGATGCAGGAGTTCCAGAAAAAGAAAACATGCAGGAAAACAGCATGTGGAAGAGCATGCAAATATGTGTGTCATCCCAGTGAACAATGTCTCTGGCTGTTCCTTCCTCCCCCCAGATACTAGGCCAGGCTGAAGCCTGGGAGCCTCGTGCCCCACACTCTCCTGTGTGGCTGTGCCCGGGACCCAGGCCATCTCACATTAAAAAAAAATATATATATATATATAATTTTTTAATTGTCAGGCCGTGTCATCTTGACCATGCCAGCATGCAGCCACCTCAGCGGCCTTGCCCCAGTCCTCATAATAATGAGCACCTCTGAATCCCCGTGCTCCGCAGGCACAATGACCCACTTTCTATTGTTCGAAGTGGCCCATTCTTGGTGGGCTTGCTACAGACTTACTTTGAGGGGGCAGCAGGAGGGCCCATACTGAGTTACACCCCAGGCCATTCTTATATTTTGAGATAGGGTCTCTAAATCACCAAATTGCCCGGGCTGGGCTTGAATTCCTAGAGGGCTGGGATTACAGGTGTGTGCTGCCACAACTGACTGTGAAACTTTACTTTTCTGCTTGGAGATGACCTCATGGTCAAGAGACAGAGAATTCATATGAAAATCAGTGGTCCTGCATCCTGGAGGGCCCGCTGCCTTTGGGATTCCTTCCAGGGATTCTGTTTCCCTTTTATGGATCAGCAAACTGTCTCTCAGGGAGAGAGAGTGTGTGTGTGTTGAGTGTAGGGAGCTCTGCTGGGGATGGGGACTCCCCTGCAGGTCCCAGGGTCAGCTTTGCCTTGGTCTGTGGCAGCTGGGGTCCCATGCTGAGCTTGAGGCAGACACTCTGTAAATATTTGTGGAGTGAAGCACTCAGATGATTAAATAAACGAAATTGGAGTGTTTTATTACTTGACTGCTTGGAGCAGTTAGTCACCGGGCCTCTGAGAGCTTTGGGGAGAAAGGTGGCTCCTCTGGCTGAACCCCGGAAACAGGGCAGATGACTCATGTTCTAGTCAGTTCATTTTTTTCCCACCAAAATAATGACTGTGTTTACTTCCAAGTTATCTTTATACATCCAGTAGTGCATTTATTCTCAAGTCTTGGTTAAATGTTGGTTACTTTTGCTCCAAACAGACAATCTGCTCTCCTCTCCTGGAGAGAGTGACTGTAGAGTCAGGACTGTGCAGGAGAGGACAGGGCTGCCCGCTCTTAGGTTGGGACGTGAGGTCTTCACACAGAGGCCTGGGCGTGCAGGGGCCATGGGGAAGACCTCAGATCGGTGTCGCTTGGACGTCCCCACAGCCCGCATCCCCTTCCTGGAGAGGAGCTAGGCGGCCGTGACTGCGTTGGGTGTGCATCCTTGGATGACTTCTCCGACCCTGTTGTCCTTCCCAGGACTGAAAATTTCCCCCAAAACATGGCACAAATGTCCTTCCTTTTCCCCAACCGTTCGCCCCCTCCCGAGTCGCCGTCGCTTAGGGAAAAGCACTCCCGTCTCGGAAATGGACTTTGAATTTGTAGCGCTGGTGAAAATGAAACAGAAGCTCCTTCCGGAGAGCGATGGGAGCGCGCAGGACTCAGAAGGCGGCGTACTGGGAAATCCCTGGATGTAAACATATTTTTGAAATTAAAAAACCCTTTAGAGTGAAGGAAAAATACGCGATGGTCGGGGTTCGGTGAGGTTAGGCAAGGGCCCGGGTGGACGTAGAGAGCACACCTCTGCGGGAGAGGACGCTGCGCAGTGCTTGGAACGCAGAGACGAGACAGCAGGGCAGAAAGATCTGGGATGCAGCAAGGGCCACGGTCTCCTAATCCTGCTGTTTTTTCTTCGCAAAACTTTGTAGAGTGACAGCGCGCCGGGCAAAGCGAGCCACGCGCTCCAAGTGCACGAAGCGGCCCCGCCCCCAGCGCCTAGGCGCGCCCACCTGCGCTTCGCTCTCACCTGGTGCGCGCACCCGAGACAGACGGGGCGTGACCGGCTGGTGGGCGGGCCTGGTGGCGGAAGTGATGTCGGCGGGCCGGGCGGCGCGTACCTGGGCACCCGGTGGCCGCGGGGCGAGGCGCGCGCGATGGAGGGCGACGGCGGCGGCTCCTGGGCCCTGGGACTGCTACGTACCTTCGACGCGGGCGAGTTCGCCGGCTGGGAGAAGGTCGGCTCGGGCGGCTTCGGGCAGGTGTACAAGGTGCGCCACGTCCACTGGAAGACGTGGCTGGCCATCAAGTGCTCGCCGAGCCTGCACGTCGACGACAGGTCGGGTGGGGCGCTGGGCGCGGGGGATCCCCGAGGGGAGCCGGCAGCCGGGGCGCACGCCTTGGCGAGGTCCGGGTCTGTGCTCCCCGGGCTACGCTACCTGAGGGTGGGGGTGGTGGGGGTCGCGGGGGCCGGGACCTATGCTGCGCCGTCCGTGCTGCCCCGTTCTCCAGGGTTTCGGGGCCCCCAGGGCTTTGGGGTCCCAGTGTACCAAAAGGTCTCCTGCACGCTGCGGTCCGCGAGGGCTTAGCAGGATTGCGGTGCGGGCGCCGGGCTTTGGGAGCGCGGTCGGTCTCACCCTGTCATTTTCGCCGAGCACAAATTGGCCTAAGACGCTAATTATTCGGTGGGAAGCGCAGGCTTGGCCGGGGCCTGTTGGGTCCCGCGGCCCGGGACCGATTTCCCCGCTTCCTCCCCGCGCACGCTCGCCTTTGGGACCTCCGGCCGAAGCCGAGCCCCGGGGAGGAAAGGGCCGGGCCGGGAGAGGGGCACCAGGGCGGAGCTCTGGGAAGGAGCTGGGTGCTCTGGAAAAGAGCCCTCACCACTGCCGGGTTTAGTGGGCACCACGGTGGTCTGCGCTCCCTTGCGAGGTGAGGTGGTGTGAAGATTCTCAGAAACCTTTTAGTTTTCAGATTCCATGGTTTATGGTAGAGTTTGGATAGTTTACCGCTAAGCTTCACTTCAGTACGTTAAGTTACTGATCTTTGGATGAAGTTTGCCCCCTACGTGGAAGCTGTATTTGTGCTCTGCTTCATTAAACTTTAATGAATGTAGTTTAAGATCTACTTGGGAGTGAAGTGTAGCTTCCTCAGACATGCCAAAAATCAGATTCCAAGTCCCTTCTAAACTGCACACAGCCCTAGCTGCCTCTGGCCTGGCTTGCAGTGCCTAACCTGTTGCTGCTGGAGTCTCTACAGTGCCTGTATTAGGTGGCTGAGGTAGCGATGCTTGCGTGTGGTGGCAGTGAGCTGCTGCCCTAGCATGCAGTGAGCATTATGTATGTCTCTGCACGGAGAGACCCATTGTACCTGTGTGTTTTATGGTTGGCCAGGAGGCTACATCATAGCGCCTGTAAGTGATTGGCCCACCATTTTCTGGAAGTTGTAGTAGATTAGGGAGTTTGTTCTCTCTAATCTGGAGTTGCCAGCAGCAGCTCTAGCTGACTTTGTGTGAGGTTGTGTGGGAAAAGCCTTCCCTCTCTGTGTCTGTCTGTCACATCCAGGGAACTCAGGCTGGCAAGATGCTGTGGTTATTTTGATGAAATCCAAACCACTTGGAATACCAGCCAGCAATTTGATTTTGAAAAGTAGGTCTCCGGAGGGGCGTTTTTATGCACAAAGGTCTGAGGGAGTTTTCTGGTCTACGTGAGCTTCAATCATCGGTGAAGAATTGTACACGATTTCTGGTATTAGAAGAGCCAAGTAAACAAGTGCTGCCCCAGGCTGAGTCTGCAGCCTGTGCCCTGGAATCTCTTTTGCCTCCAGCCACTGGCCTCTTGTATCTTGGGTGGCCCAGTTGCAGGAGGGTTTCTCCATTCAGGCGGGTCCCTGTGGATCTTGCGAAGCCTGGCTGAATGTGTTGTCCCTTCCCTGGAAGCCTGCCCTGCCCTGCCTAAAGCAGGCAGGTGTGGGCTCGTCGGACCAGGCTGGGTCAAGGTCAGCAGCCCAGCAGGAAGCCTGAGCCTCTTGTTCTTGGCCTCAGGGGCAGCAGGCTGGAGCTGTGTGTTTTGCTTTCTGACCCAGAAGGTGGGCAGCCCTGCTGTGTGTGTGGGGCTGGCTCCTGGGGTTAGTTGTCCTGCACTCTGCAGGAGGCCCTGCATGCTTATGAGGGGCGGGTCATTTGGCAGTCTTGGGAGATTTCTGTTAGCCTTGCAGTAGTTGTGCCCTGCACATTTTTTTTTCAGTGCTCCTTTGATGCACTGCTCCCACCCCCACTTTTGTAAGCCTTGTTTTTTGAGAAAGGAGTAGGGTTTTCCTGGGGCTTCTGCAGGCACAGACCTCCTGGCTGAGGCTTGCTTGCCTGCCAGCCACATGGTCTGGGCCTGTTTCCAGGGTGACCAGAGTTGGTTCCAGCTGATTGCTTAGGGAGGGAGCCACCTTAGGGACAGGTGTGGGTGAGGCTGAGGCAGGTTTTCATTGGCCAGGGCTGCTGGCCAGCTGGTTCCATGGGGTCTCCTGGCTCCCTGTAGGGCATTAACTGCAGTCCACCCCAGGCTTGAGAGTGCGTTTCTTCAGGGAAGTTCTGGCCAGCTTTCTTGGGGCAGGGGAAATGTCCACTAAAGAGTACCCTGGGGGCCCTTTGGGTAGTTCACAGGTGATAGCATCTGTCTACTGAGTTGCCCCTCCTCACTCACGGGGCTTATTGCCTTGGGAGAATACTGCCGGCTGGTTGTGGGGAGAATGTGGCCCTGATTCTTACTGGGGGGGCCACAGGGCCTGCTGTGGACCGCAGGCGATGGTGTTCTTCAGGTGAAACAAAGTGGCCCCGGGCCTCTCACCCTTCCCTGTCCCCAGCTAAGAGGAAGTGCAGAATAACAAAGCATCTGGTGAGGCCGGGGCGGGCACAGCTCTCAGAGTTGGGCACCAGCTAGTCAGGGCGAGCCTGAGCAAACCCGGGATTTGTAACTTTAGTGCTGACACTTGGACAAGCCTGATTCTTGTCAGTTTTAAAAATAGCAGTGTGGGAACCCCTCCGAGGCACCCTGGGAATGTAATTGGGTTGGCTTGCCTAGGCCTCGAAGGGAAGATGGGAGGCCCAAGGCCAGCTCGCCTGCATTTTCCTAAGGTGGCTCCAAGGCCTCCCTCACAGGGCCCTTTGTTACCCCAGTGCCTTCCTGGGCCCCCCTCCTTCAGAGTGTCTGAGGCAGCTCTGCCTTCGTCGCACCGTGGAGCCTTGTGTCTGGTACCCCTTTATGAGGGAGGGCGCTCAGCCTCTAGGCTGTTCATGAGGTCTTTGGATCAGGGATTTTGTGCCTGTGCCAGAAGAGCGCCCATGGCTTCTCTCCAGAGCTACCTCCTGCATGATGGGGCCTGTGCGAGGCCACGGTTGCTGACATTTCCCCCTGCTCTGGTACCTCTGTACTTGGCTGGTCCTCAGCACGATGAAAGTAGAGTTGATCTGAGTGACACTCACAGACCAGAAAGAGGAGCCCTAGCCTTAGTCCTGTGTTGACCAAACATTTTCCATCTGGGCCCTGAAGTAGGCTGGAGGCTGGGGTGCTCTTTCCTTCTGTTCCTGGAAAGCGAATCAGGGAGGGAATCAGCCACCCTGTCCCCAGCAGGGAAGAGGAAATGGAGGAAGAGGTTGCTTTAATTATACTTATCTCAGGGTGCAGTGGTCAGAAGTGCCAGGGACCACAGACTGAGAAACACCATCTGATAACGGTGGCAGGTACCCTAAAGCTGGCTCCCAGAGGCCCCTTTGTGCCCTGGCTCCTACCCCAGCACTGAGGCACAGGGACAGGCTTTGACAGTCTCTCCGAATTCCGAAATACTAGTAACCTTTCTACAGGCACAAGCTGTGTATGGTGGCACACACCCCGCCTGTAATCCTATCACTCTGGGAGGCTGAGGCAGCAGCTTTGGAAATTTGAGCCCAGCTCAGGCCATGACAAAGTGATTAAGCACAACCTTGACTCAAAATTGTTTTTTAAAAAGGCTGGACTATAGCTCAGTGTAAAGGCCTTGGGTCATTCCCACAAAAAAGTAAATAATTAAAAAAATAAAATGTAAACCCCCCAAAGCTACAGTTCCTTTTGTTTGGTCCACAGCCTGAGCTGGAAAGGCTGCTGGCCAGGTGGCCGGAAGTGGTATATTTAAACAATTGTACCAGTGAGAAACAATGTGTCTCTCTGAAGGGAAAAGCCCCTTCCTGGGACCTGGCGCTCAGGTAGGCCCCATTCAGGCTTATTGATGTACAAATACAGCCAGTTCCAGCTTCCCATGGTGGGTTGCTCCCTCGGGTGTAAGTGGAGCCTAGGTCCACAGGAGTTTGGATCAGAAGTCATAGGTTGTAAAGTGCTCAGACCTTCTGCCTGCACAGGCTGAGCTTCTGTGTGTGAGGCTGCCTGACGGTGGAGGCCAGAGGCCTGCCTGCCCTGGGGCTTATCCAGTCGCAAAGAAGGTGATTTCAAAAGAGCTTTTCTTTTATTCTTCCATGTTTGCAGTACATAGTGATTATGTGCCTTGTGTGGAGTTGGTACTTTGGGGCCGTACATCTTCATTTTTTTCTATTTCCACCTCTTCTCCCTCCCCTCTTCCTGTCTCTCTCTGATTCCCAGCATGTGTATACTTTGGATTTCTCATGTGAGAGAAGGTGGTTTTGTCCCTGCTTCCCACCTGGGGTAGCTGATTTCTTCTGTGGAATGCTTGGAGTCAGTGGCCCAAGAAAGGAGGCCCTGCCAGGCCCTGGTGCAGTCTGTGTGGTTCCCTTGGGAGATGCCATGGGATCTGCTTTCCATGGTGTGGCAGCCCTTTAAATGGGGCCCTGTTCTTCCTGGGCCACTCCGGGAGGGAAGAGGGAGGAGGTCCTGGGCGGGAGGGATGGCTTGGCCTGGGGCATGATCAGTGATCCACTGCCAACCTGGCTGATGGCTTCTGGGCCCTTGGGGTAGGTGGAAGAAAACAACTTTTATTTCTTCTTTTCTTTTTTTTTTGGCAGAGTGGCTCAGATCTTTAATAAGCTAGCCAGTCTTAGTGGAATTGACTTTCTTCTCAAAAGACACATTTGTTAGCCCTCAGGTAGGGCCCATGAGGCCATATTCAGAAGGCCACCTAGTACCCAGCTGGAAACTCCTAAAGTACAACTTCGGGGTTCAGGGTGCCACGCCCAGGGTCATGGGGCCAGGGTACTGGACTAGGAGGGTGCTGGCACTGCTGTTGTTGTCCCCCACACCTTTGCCAGGTGCAGCTGCCTCCTGTGTGTAGATGGGCTCCTTGTGCTTCAGGGAGCGAGTGCCCCCAAGCCCTGGCCTCAGATGGCACTTCGACACTTGGAGTTGTCACTTCCTCGCAGATCCCCTGCAGAATGCATGCAGGCAGGCACAGGAGCACTCCTGGTTCCCCCCCAGAGCCAGTAGTGTCACACACATGCATGTGTACACACACACACACACACACACACACACACACACACTACATTGTGAGTCCAAGCCACCCTGAACTGCATAGCAAGACGTTGTCTGGAAAAACAGTTAACAATAACATAAGGCAGGGTGGGCTGTCTCTTGTTCACTTTGTCACAGCTTTAGCCAGGCATCAGAGAGCTTGTCCTTGATTCAAACCTGCCCCTCCTGGCTGGGTACAAACTCCATGAGGGGGAGTGTCACCATAGCTGCTTTGCCTACCCCTGTGAACCTCAGACTGAGTATAGTACTTGGTAGGTAGTTGGTGCTCAGTACATTTTTAAAAAAACAAATGAGGTGTTCCCATTTACCTCTTCCCTGTCCCCCTTTGCCCTACCTTCTCTCAGCTTCACCTGTTCAGGGGGCTGAATGCACGTGCTGCTTCTTCTTCTTCTTTTTTTTTTTTTTTTCAGAATCAGGGCTTGAACTCAGGCCCTTGCGCTTGCTAGGGAAGCGCTTATTCTACTGAGCCATCTCCCCAGCCCCATGTGCTGCTGCTTAAAGCACTAAGAAAATGACAGGTCCTAACTTGCATTTGGAACAAAAAAGCAAAGCTGGCATCAGGTGGGCACAGGCTGTGGCAGCAGCTGCCTGGAAGTTGGTGGCCTTGTTCTGGGAACTCCTTCAGGTGACAGCAGGGTCCTCAGCGAGTATCTGCAGGAAAGGAGCTCTCCCTGAGCTGCAGCTTCCTCCTCCACCCCAGCCTGTGGCATCGGGCCTCCTCTCTCCTTTCAGAAGCTGAGTCAGGAACAGGGCTGGTGGGCTGGGGAGATGGCTCAGTGGAATAACCGCTTCCCTGGCAAGCGCAAGGGCCTGAGTTCAATCACCGGTTCCACCAGGAAAAAAAAAGGAACAGGGCTGGGTGTCTGACCCAGCATGTGCTGTTGGTCACTGGGCTGGGGAAGGACAACTTGTAATGCTCATATTCTCCTTTTTGTCCTGGGTCCTGTGGCTGCTGGAAGGGACTGGCTATCCTGGGTGGGCTTCAGGCTACTGGGGTGTCTTGCTGGAGGGAGGGCGCAGTGCAGGGACCCCAGGCTGGCACAGCTCTTGTGCATATCTTGCCTTCCATCTATTGATCCTTTAGGCAGAGTGCTAAGAAAACAAGCCAAAGAGAAAGCACCTTGGGGTGGTGGGATACACTGATTCCCCCCTGAGGCTTGTTTTCCTTGTTGCTAAGGCCAGCCCCCCCCCCCCCATTGGATTGATGGGAGTTTTGTAGGCTGTAGAATCTGGAGGTCTCCTCCCTGCACTGGGAAGTCTTCCTGTCGGGGAGCTGGGAGTCTGGTTCAGTGTTAGAGCTGAGGTCTGACCCACAAGAACCCGGGGCTGGTTGGCACAGGATCAAATTCTCTGGCAGGCCAGAGGGTGCATGGTGGCTTCCAGCAGCAGAGGAGCCCCTGCACTGGGAGCCATGGGGACCCTGGCAGGGCTAGATTGTGCGGACACCCAAGCTACACAGTTCCCAGATGGAGCAGATTGGGGTTTCTGGGGGTAGGGGGTGGCCCTGGGTGTTCCCATTAAGAAGCATGTTGTTACTAGAAAGCAGATTTCCCAGCCCAGAATATGTTGTTAAGGAGCCAGGCCTGGGAAGCCACGTTCCTGCCAACTTCCTGTGTGTTTTCTGTGTGTCCTGCCAGCTTCCAGACTGTCTTCTGTATGTCTGTTTCAGAGAGTTATTGACCTAGATCCTCACAGGATTTGGCCTTTTCCTGAGTGCACACTGAGACTTTGACCCTGACACTGACATAGGCTGGCTCTCTGTGATTCTTCTCTCAATATGGACTGGCCAGGAAAGTGAAAAGTCCTGCCTGGAGGACTTCCAGTCCCCACATTGCCTCTGTGGGTCTCTCAACGCCTCTCTGCACCCTGTGTGTAAAGGGGGAGATGTCCCTTAAAAGTTCATTTACAGAACAGGTGGTGGCTGTGGTCAGTGGCTTGGGTGCTCCTTCAGTAAACACAGAACTTAGTACCATAGGCACTGGTCTGTCCAGGAGAATTGAAAGCAGGTTGTGAGCAGATGTCTGTACCCCAGTTTATGCAGAAGTATAGCAGTATTTATAAAAGCAGGAATAGTTCATGGCCCACCAGCAGAGGCGTGGAGAAGTAATACATAGTGCTCCATTCCCGCAGCGGGGAATTATTCAGCCACACAAATGAACAAGGCCTGTGTGCGTGCTCTGACCTGGCAGGCATTGGAGACATGCTTAGTGAAACAAGCCAGGCACAGAGGAACACACGCTGTGATCCCACTTAGGAATGAGATGCTAAATTTAGGCAGATTTGCAGACAATAGAAGGATGGTGACCAGGGACAGGAGAGGAAGGAGGCCTGGTTGTTTACTGAGTGCAGATCATGCTGGCAGAGATGAGGAGGTTCTGTCTGGATGAGATATGATGGTTTGCTGTGGGGAGTGTAGTGTGTGAAACCATTGCCCTACACACATGTGATGGCTGAAGCGACACATACTATGTCGTGTGTATGTTACTGTAGGAAACACAACTGGCTGCAACCTTCTCTCGATCAAAGCTCTTCCTTTATTTTGAGTGGGAGCTGGGCCAGGATAACTAGGCAGTGGAAGCTGTAGGCTCACATAGAGAAAAGTCATGTGGGTCCATGATGGACAGCCAATTGCAGCTTTGAAACTCGTCCTTCCCTGTCCGTGTGCAGGTGTGCGCCTCCACTCTCATGCCTTCCAGCTGGGCTGCTGGCATGCAGTTAGTCTCCCTGCTTCTGGGGTTTGGGTAGCTCAGGACCATAGATCCTGGAAGGGCCCACCTTTAGCTTTGGGACATCAGGGGTACACATGTGAGCTCTGTGTGTGTGTGTTTGGCCATTGCATGCCCCTCACATCTTTGTACTTTTTCAGGGAGCGCCTGGAGCTCCTAGAGGAAGCCAAGAAGATGGAGATGGCTAAGTTCCGCTACATCTTGCCCGTGTATGGGATCTGCCGGGAGCCTGTGGGCCTGGTCATGGAGTACATGGAGACAGGATCCCTGGAGAGGCTGCTGGCCTCGGAGCCACTGCCGTGGGACCTGCGCTTCCGCATCGTGCATGAGACGGCTGTGGGCATGAACTTCCTGCACTGCATGTCCCCACCGCTGCTGCACCTAGACCTGAAGCCTGCCAACATCCTGCTGGACGCACACTATCATGTCAAGGTAGGGCCCATGGGCTCCTGGGGCATATGTGAACGGTCACTTCTGAGCCCAGTGGGCCAGGTGGGGCATGGCATGTAAATCCTGCACCTGGATGCAGCCAGGTGGGGAACCTGGTTCTCACTCTGGACCACAGTTTTGAGCATTGCATGTCTTGTGAGGTTCTGGTTAGAAGATAGACCTGCTGCCCCAGGTGTCAAGCAGGATTTGGGGTTACTGGAAACACAGATGAGACTTGCTGAGTCTGCTTGGTGCCTGGGCCCGTAGGGTCACAGGACGTGGGTTGGTTCTCCCCAACAATGCCTATCCTGTGTGCCCAGTATGTGACAAGCTTTTTGCTATAAGATGCAGTCCCTGCACTGCCAAGTGTCACCCACTAAGCTGCCCTGTTGTCCTGGCATGGATGGTGACACTGGTTAAGCCTGGGTGCGGATGGGAGTAGCATCCCTGCCTCTCTAAGCTGGCCTGGGGATGTGCAGGAAGCTGCATGGACAGCTGTTGCCTGCATGTTGTATTGTCCCTGCCTCTGAAATTGGAGGCAGCAGTGGCTGTTGCCTGAGTGGCTATGTCTGGTTTTAGCAAGGTGGCTGCTCAGCCCTGTGCCCGTCTCCAGTGCCGAGAAGAGGGGGCCATGCACTGGGGCTTGTCTTTTCCAGGATGCAGGTTGCTTCTCCGCCTGGCATGTCCCCTGCCCTGGTAAACAGTGGGCATTTAATGCTGGCTTGGTGAGGACATGTGGGCCTGCTGGCCACTCCACGGCCTTGTCTGGTTGTGAAGGGCTGTCCTGGTGGTAGTGCTGGCCTGAGTGGCCGAGAAGGGCCTCCCCAGGCAGGAAGTGACGCCTGCCTCATGGGGACAAAGCCCAGCCTCTGATCTGAGCCACCATGAGCAACCCTAAGAAAGGCTGAGTCAGCCTGACTCCCTTCTTGGTCACCACTGAGGAGCCTGAAAACAAACAGAAGGGCACTCCTGTATGCCTTTCTCTGGTGCTTGGCATGGCTGCCTGGTGTGCAGAGGACTAAGTGACAGCCCTGTCCCTTGGGACAGCTTTTGGAGAGCACTTACTTGGAGCAGTTGAGGCAGGATTCCCCCCCCCACACACACTGCCCATTCCTGTTCTCAGGCCCCAGGAATGTGCAGCCTCTTTGCATAGGGTATGCTTAGAGCTGAAATTTCATCCAGCCGGCCTCTCTGCCCAGTGTTATAAAAGTCCCTGACGTCAGGTTACTACTTCATCAGTGTGTCAGAGGCACTAAGTAGCCTCGTTACAATGTGGCTTTAAATCTAGCACGCACTTAGAATCCCTGAACTCTGAGAGGCTGAGACAGGAGGATCACAAGTTTAAACTCAGCCTCGGCAGTGTAGCAGCTTAGGGAGACCTTTCTCAAAACTTAAAAAGGGCTCCTAGGGATGGAGCACAGTCATAGAGCCCTTGCCTAGCCCGCACCGAGGCTGTGGCTTTAGTCTCCAGCACCACTAACTAAATAATTAAAAAGTGCTGGGGACATAGCCTGGATTCAATCCCCAGTCCCCAACTGAAGTGGACTTAAGGTAATTTGAGTTAACGTGAACGAGCAGTCTTCATTCATTTGTGCAGTCTGCCCCACTCATCCTGCTGCGAGCCAGGGGCACATGCCATTATCCCAAGGTGCTGAGCTCTAGAAGGTTGTGACAGCCCTGTGTTGGCTGTGCCAGGGGGAGAAATGACACATTGCAGGGGAAGCCCCAGGCACCAAGATCCCAAATCCAAGCCTGCCTTTGTGGATTTAAAGCATTTCAGGTGGCTGACAGTTATCAGCTGCAGTTTCCTGTGGCCCTGAACCTAAAATGAGGGTTATAGTCACTGCTGTTTTTGCTGTGGACTGCAGGACAGCAGTGGCCTCACCCTGGGAACCAGGCAGTTTCTCTCCCAAGGCCTCAGTGGAACCAGGAGAATCAGGGCACTCAGAACTGGTACCTGGGCTTGCTGAGCCCTAGAGCCTGCTCTGCCCCAACTGGGCATGGAGAAGACCAGAGCCAGGCCTGTCCCCACAAGAGCCTTCCTGCACCTGCTGTGCCTGAGCTTAGAGTCCCTGAGCCAGGGGCGAGGACCCAGAAGTGAATGCAGGGCTCTCCCACCGCTAACCCTGGAGCAGGGAAAAGTGCTGGGAGCCATTAGCACCCACAGGCTGGGGCTGCATCCACACCTCAGGACACCTGGGTTCCTCAGGAGGTGGGTACTTCAGCAGGGCATGACACTTCCCAGAGAGGCCCCAGAGGGTCCCTGACCACAGGTGCAAAGACACCTTTGCCACAAGGCGCCCAGCTCCTCTGTATGTGGGAGGCAGCTGCCGGCCCCAGAGCCGGGCACTGCTGGCAGGAGGTTGTCATATGTTTGGCAAAGAAGCCAGCAAATGTCTGCTGGCCACAAATTGTCAGGCAGAGCACAGCATGCCTGGGGCAGCAAGGTGTGTGTTTTGTTTGCTGAGGCTTCTGAAGGTTTGCTGTCCTTTAAAGGGCTTGCCGCCACTTGCCACCCCAGCTGGGGGCTTGCATAACCAGCTGCCCAGGCCGGCACTGTCTCCCTTGGCCGGAGCCAAAGCCTGCTTTCCTGCCCTCTGCACTGGGGTGGCTATACAGAACTGGTGTTGTGGGGCTGCCTGTGTTCCTCTCCCGGTAAACTCTTGATTAAAGCAGTTCCTTTCCCCATATGTGGAGTCCAGAGCTCTCAGGGGTGTCCTCCCATCCCAGACTAAGGTGCCTCCTGGGTACTTTTTGCAGATTTCGGATTTTGGGCTGGCCAAGTGTACCGGGCTGTCTCACTCCCATGACCTCAGCATGGATGGTCTGTTTGGCACCATTGCCTACCTCCCTCCGGAACGCATCCGGGAGAAGAGCCGACTCTTTGACACCAAGCATGACGTGTACAGGTGGGTGATAAGGGAAAGGAGCCATACCAGGCTGGGTTGGGGTTCACTGAGGTGCCCCTGGGAGCCTGTTTCCTGTGGCCCATGGGCCAGGGAGGATGTCCTCTCTACCTAGGTGGGCGGGGCTGGTCATGTCAGCAGCTGACAACCCCTGTGCCCTGCACGCTTCGTTGTTTTCCTGTAATGTGGGCTTTATTGCTCGTCTGCTGGAAGAACCCACGGATCCATGAGTGTGTGGGTTGTGACGCAAGCAGTTTCCACACGCCAGGAAATCAGCAGGACCTGAGAGCCTAGAGAACAGTGCCTGAGGCTTTGGGTCCCTTCCCTCTCTAGCTGGCGAAGGCCTGAATCACAGCGGCCTCCTGGAGGAGGAGCCGAGTGAGCGGAGCAGGGAGTGTGCAGGCTGCCCCTGCCTGCCGCCATGCACTGGGGCCCACGCAGGGCTGACCTGGCCCCAAGCACCCATCTCGACCTTCCTGTCATCCCTGTCCCCCGCCCTGGCTGACTGGTTTGACGGTAGCCATTGTCGTGTGCTGAGCTAGCCTTTGAGTGCTGACTATTCTGGGGACCGCCCTCAGGGACGCGTCCAGGCTTGTAGCAGTGGGAAGAGTGAGATGCTACCTTAGAGTTGAGTTCTAACTTCTTCTTTTTTTTTTTTTTTTTTTTGCGGAACCGGGGATTGAACTCAGATTCTTGCGTTTGCCAGTCAAGCGCTTATCCTACTGAGCCATCTCCCCGGCCCCAGTTCTAACTTCTGAACCTGCGTAGTTTTCATTGTGAATGCTCTCTGGTTCCGTGAACAGCCAGGCTCGAGCCAGTGCTCGAGGTGCAGGGAGCAGCTTTCAGACTCTGTAAAAAAAATGTTACCAGGTAGCATTCTCTTCTGCACGTATCGTCCTCACTTGCTCTAAGTATGTGCTTTGTGCTGTATTCTATCCCCCACCCTCAGGCAGGAGAGGCTTTGGGGTGCAGCTGGGCTGCTCCTTTCCTTAATGGCCCTCCAGTCCCCACAGGGCATATAGCTCAGGCCCCACTGGAGGGGAGTGGAGGTCAGTGGAAGGCCAGGAGGTCCCCAGTGCCAGCCTACCATACAGTCAGCACAGTGTAGTGAGCACACAGTCCCACTGCCATGCGCCAGGCCGGACGTCAGGACTGGTGGCTGCTCTGGTGGCCTGCTGTAGTGCGTGTTCCCCTCAGAAGCACAGGGGGAACGTGGGTCTCGGCTCCGGCTCAGCACTCAGATGCTGGTTTCTCTTGCAGCTTTGCCATCGTCATCTGGGGTGTGCTGACACAGAAGAAGCCCTTTGCAGGTGAGTGAGGGTGTGGGCTGGGCCATAGTCCACGCTCCTAGTGGCCACTGTCCTCAGGACGGGGTCTGCTGTGTTCTGCGTTGCCCTGCCCATGTAAGCGGAAGGCCCAGGCCGCCTCACCGTGTACCCACAGGCTGCCAGGTGGTTGAACAGCTTCCACACAGGAAAGGAAAGATGGCCCTGAGGAGTCTGTGTCTGTTTTTTTAGTGGTAAAATACAAACTTCATTTTGCTATGGAATTCCTTACAAAAATATAAAAGAAAAAGAAACAATTTTTGAAAACCCAAAAAAGAAAAACAATGACGTGTGTAATTTTGTGGCATTCACTTGCACACTCACTACTGTTCTGGATCCAGCCCATTTCCAGCTGGAAGCACAGACCTGTGAGTGGCTACTTCCCATTCTCACCTCCAACCACAAACCTGCTCCATCTGTGGATTTGCCTCTTTTACCTTGTTCTTCTTTCTTTTTCTTTTTTAAAAATTAAAAACCTGGGCAAGACAAAACTTTTGCGGTGACTGTGTCTCCCTGCAGGCAGCCAGTGCATTCACGTGGTTGACCTGATGAGCCTGGCCCCTGCTGGGCACCCATAGCCCTGATTTCTGCCCTGAGAGCCTATAACTTGACTTGGGTTTATTGTGAAAGCTAAGTAGCTTCAAAGTGCATCACAGAGAGGGGCAGTCTGTCTGTTCCTCTGTCTGTTTTTCTGCACACTCACATTTGAGTGGTATGGCAAAGACATTGAAAAATGTAGACCTGGCCTAGCACGTATGAGGCCTTGTTTCAATCTCCAGGGCAAAAATATAAAATAAAATGAAAGAAAACAAAAGAGTGCGTGGTCCTCGGTCTGGGAGCCCTTTGCTGGTTGAGGCAGAGACTTGGGCAGCAACAAAGGGTGCAAGTGCCAGGCAGGAAGAGACCCTCCAAGCATCACGAGGCCTAGGGAGTGTTTGGAGCTGAGTGAGTGGGTCTGTGAGCAAGGGGTGAGTGGTCCAACCTGGTGGGTGGAGTGGAGTGATGAACCCAGCCCACTGGGAGTCACCAGTCTACAGCGAGCTATGCCCTTGGGGACCCTTGCTAAAGAGAGCCCGGGCTCACACAGGGAAGAATCTGGTCCCCCATGACCCCTACCCTTCTCCTCTGGAGATTACACCTTAACAGTGCCTCTGCCTACAGATGAAAAGAACATTCTGCACATCATGGTGAAGGTTGTGAAGGGGCACCGCCCTGAGCTGCCGCCCGTCTGTAGGCCCCGGCCGCGCGCCTGCGCCAATCTCTTGCGCCTCATGCAACGGTGCTGGCATGAGGACCCGAGGGAGCGGCCCAGCTTCCAAGGTGAGCCCTGCTGGACCCTGGGTCACACAGATTGAACTCTGTACCTGTGGCCTCCAGTACTTGGGAGGGACTGAACACCCCAATGGCCAACTCCATGTGCTACCATCTGCTCCCAGCCAGGGCTAGAGCTGCAGCCCATGGAACCACAGGAGTTCTCTTAGGAGACCCATTGCCTCTGGCTTGGGGCTTCTCCCTCCTGTGGCTTTGATCTTCAGACCAGAAGTGTCTTGGATGGATTTGAGCATGGTAATCGTGTTTTCCTATTTAAAATGCAGCAACAGACAAAGTGAGGCTCACCTCTCCATGGGGGACCTGCCTTGAGTGTGGAGACACTGCAGAAGGTGGTCAGGCAGGGAGAGGGCCAGTGAATCACAGTGGTCCCAGGGCTGGCAGGGAAGTTGCAGAGCCTGTGGTACCCAGCTTGCCATCTGCTGCTTATACGCTCTGTCCCCGTAGAATTGCAGAGGAGCCCTTACCCAGAGATATGCACCTTATATATTCTCCCTACAGAAATCACCTCTGAAACTGAGGACCTGTGTGAGAAGCCAGAGGAGGAAGTCAAGGAGGTGCCCCAAGACCTGGGCAGAGAGGGCTCGCCAGAGCCCAAGAGCGAGGTAAGGGACATGGCTTTGGCCCTGGGGGTCTCCAGGCAGGCTCCTTCCTGTGGACCCCAGGCAGATGGCCCAGCTCTCCTCCACTCAGCCTGCTCTGTGCCCAGTGCCACTGAGGAATGTGTCCCACAGTGCCTCTAGGACCCCCACCACATGCACCATCTTCTGCCTTGGGGTTGTGCGTGACACAGGTGGGTGCTGCCAGACACATCCAGAGCCCCAGGCCTCTGAAGGAGGTGGGCAGCCTGGGCTCCCCTGTGTCCCTGGCTGAGGATGCTGGAACTTTTTATTTGCATTTGCATGATTGGTTGTGTGACTACTGTGGAGGTGGATTTGGAAGTGGGCTCTGGAGCTGGGGCAGTGCCTTCCAGGGAGACCCGTCTGGGTTTCTGTGGTGCCCTAAGTGGAAGGGACATGTAAGAGCCTCTCCTGATCTAGCAAAGGAAGGCTCAGCCAAGGGATGTCACTCAGCGTACCTGGCAACCCAGTCAGGCCCAGTTCCCAAGGGGAGGGGTGGAGCTGAGGGAAGCAGCATGTGTCACAGTAGGACTGTCCAGCCATGCTTGGCTAGGAAGTCTCCCCTAGTGTTCTGTGGACAGGCTCCACCCCTGCTGCAGACCCGGAGCAGAGCCATGGGGCTCGGGAGAGGGTTCTGTGGACTATCGTTAGTGGGATGGGTACCCAGCCATGCTATCTGCTTGTGGCTTCTCAGCTATCCTCCGTAGTCAGGGTCCAGCCCCTGCCTCAGCTACTACAGCTTCTTCTTCCTCTGTCTTTTGTTAGAAAGCGCCATCCCTGAGCAGGTGGTATCCACATGGTGCGCTGTGGACAGGCCATTGTGTCCTGCAGTGCTGGGTCTGGGCCCTCTGTGTCTGAGGTGCTGGATCTCCCTGGTCCTTGTGTACTTTCCTGGACACCTTCAATGTCCTCATCCCTTTCTTCCTGTGCCAGGCATTGGGCAGGCAGAGCCCAAGCCTCATCCCGCCTCCTGTCTGTCCCACAGGCTGTACCTGGGGCTACACGGCTCAAGCGTGCCTCTGCTCCACCCTTTGATAACGACTGCAGCCTCTCAGAGCTCCTGTCTCAGCTTGACTCCGGGATCTCCCAGACCCTTGAGGGCCCGGAGGAGCTCAGCCGCAGCTCCTCTGAGTGCAAACTCCAGTCGTCCAGCAGTGGCAAGAGATTGTCAGGCGTGTCATCGGTGGACTCCGCCTTCTCTTCCCGAGGGTCACTGTCACTGTCCTTTGAGCGGGAGCCATCCACGAGTGGTGAGTGACTCAGCTGGTAGCATGTGTTGGAGTCTGAGCAACTTGCCCTGTGATTCCTATTTTCTCTTTACCTGGGTAGTTCTGAGTATGGAGAATGTGGTTAGCAATGCTGAAATCCAGAGATACAGGAGTTGCTGGCTCTGTCTCATGTTGCTCAGCGGGAGCCGAACAGACCTCATGAGCTGCCTGCACCAGGTATGTCTTACCTGTGCCAGGCCCTTCACCAGCCTCAGGTCTATAGGTTAGAAGCCAGGCCAGCTGGCTGCACACTGTCACAGGCATCATAGAACCCATCTGGCCTCCCCTCCCCTTTCCTTTACCATGTGTGTCCTATAGTGTGGGTTGTCTACAAGGTGCTGACACCTGAGAATTTGTGAGCCTTGGGGCTCTTTGAGCCGATCCCAGCTAGTCTTGTCTCTGTCTTCATTTTGGCAGGTGTTCTTAGCAGGTAGCTTTCCCTGTAGCTCAGGATATGGGAATCAGTGCTGTTCTGCTCCACTCTACAGCCTGGGGCTGGCCCTTGCCCTGGCCCATCCTGAGTTGAGGCTGTGCATGGCATCTCCACCTAGCTACAGCACATGGAGGACAGGTGCCTGGCAAGATTGTGATCCTGGGGGGAGTGTATGTTTGTGAGGGGTTGGAGTTCACCGGCTTCAGTGTCCTGAAAGCTCACAGACTATCAGATATTGGGGTTAAAGGGAGGGCATCATTGGATGAGAAAAGGCCCGCAGACAGGTCAGCAGAGCAGTCTTCTAGAGTTTGCCATGAGAAGGACAGTCAGGCTCTGTTGGAGATAGCTGGAAGTTACATGGAGCAGAGGGTTCTAGAACCTTCTCTCAGGTGTCTTGTCTTGCTCCTGAGATAGCATCCCTTACTTGCTGGCCGCTGGGGCAGTGTGTCACTGAGCAGGGGCTGTGTCCTTCACACACCGTGTCCATTAGGATGCCAGGCAGTGTGGCAATGTTCCTGTGTTCCCGACTTTTGGAGCTCGTGCTAGCAAATACTGCATGAGTGGGGCTGGGGAGATAGCTCAGTAGAATAAGCGCTGGTCTGGCAAGCTCAAGGGCCTGAGTTCAATCCCCAGTTCCACAAAAAAAAAAAAAAAAAAAAAGGAAGGAGGAGCTGGGTAGCTCAGCACTGTGTGCACTGCTGAGTGGGCTTTGTACCCTCTTTCTTTATAAACAAAGGGACTTTAGTAGCAGTCACACCACTTTTGCACATGAGGGCTCAGCATTTTATATCTCATGCAGCACCAACCCCAGGGACTGGCTGCAGATTAACAGAAGAGCACTTCAGACATCCATCGTCTGGGCCAAGCGCTTTGGGGGTGAGCGGTGGCCTGGAGGCTGGCCTGTCCTGAGTGTCCCTGCCCAGGGTCCCACAAGGCATGGGCCACCCCACACTTGTGACAGTGGGGCCTGGGGAGCCAGTCTCCCCCAGAGTGACCTTGTCTGACCTTGTCTTTCCCCACTCCCTGCAGATCTGGGTACCACAGACATCCAGAAGAAGAAGCTTATGGATGCCATCATGTCGGGGGACACGAGCAAGCTGATGAAGATCCTGCAGCCGCAGGACGTGGACCTGGTCCTGGATGGCAGCGGCAGCCTGCTGCACCTGGCCGTGGAGGCTGGGCAGGAGGAGTGCGTCAAGTGGCTGCTGCTCAATAATGCCAACCCAAACCTGACCAACCGGAAGGGCTCCACCCCACTGCACGTGGCTGTGGAGCGCAGGGCACGGGCTGTGGTCGAGCTGCTGCTAGCCCGGAAAAGCAGCGTTAATGCCAAGGATGAGGACCAGTGGACAGCCCTTCACTTTGCAGCGCAGAATGGAGATGAGTCCAGCACACGACTGCTGTTGGAGAGGAACGCGTCTGTGCATGAGGTGGACTTCGAGGGCCGCACGCCCATGCACGTGGCCTGCCAGCACGGCCAGGAGAACATTGTGCGCATCCTGTTGCGACGTGGCGTTGATGTGGGCCTTCAGGGGAAGGACGCCTGGGTGCCGCTGCACTACGCCGCCTGGCAGGGCCACCTGGCCATCGTCAAGCTGCTGGCAAGGCAGCCGGGTGTGAGTGTCAACGCACAGACGCTGGACGGCAGGACACCACTGCATCTCGCCGCGCAGCGGGGACACTACCGTGTGGCCCGCGTGCTCATTGACCTGTGTTCCGATGTAAATGTCCAGAGCCTGCTGGCACAGACACCCTTGCACGTGGCTGCAGAGACCGGGCACACCAGCACCGCCAGGCTGCTCCTGCACCGGGGTGCGGGCAAGGAGGCGGTGACCACTGAAGGCTGTACTGCCCTGCACCTGGCAGCCCGCAATGGACACCTGGCCACTGTCAGGCTGCTGGTAGAGGAGAAGGCTGACGTGCTGGCCCGTGGGCCGCTGCACCAGACGGCGCTGCACCTGGCTGCCGCCCATGGGCATTCGGAGGTGGTGCAGGAGCTAGTCACCGCTGACCTCATCGACCTGCCCGATGCTCAGGGACTGAGCGCGCTTCACCTGGCTGCCCAGGGCCGGCACGCGCGCACCGTGGAGACACTGCTCAGGCACGGGGCTCACATTAACCTGCAGAGTCTCAAGTTCCAGAGTGGCCAGGGTCCTTCGGCTGCGCTCCTGCAGCGCAGCAAGACCTAGCCTGCCGCCCGTGCGCCAGGCCTGCATGGGCTTCTCGTGCAGCATGGTGCTCGGCATGTGGACGCAGAAAGGCTGAGCCAGTCCACTCTGCTGTCCTCCGTGGAGGCCAGTGTCTGGGTGCTCCCAGCGGGTACAGTACCCACCACATTAACCCTCAGTGCCTGGCGTCAGGAGGGGCGATGCGTCGGATCATTTCTTTAGGCTCCCAAATGGCTGCTGATGGGGGTTCCTTGGTGACAAAGCCTGGGGAAAGATGTCCCCTTTGTCCCAAAGCAAGCCGATACAATAGTGCAGAGCATCGTGCGGGCTGAGGTGCAGTAGGGACCCTGTCTGTCTACTCGGGCAGTGGGCAGCCAGCCCTGGGTGGGGAGCAGTGTGGGATACCCCTGTGCACGAGCAGCAGACGCCAGTGGAAGGCACTCCCAGTGTCACCAGTTAAGTCTTGGTGAGGTTACTGCAGAGTGACAGGCAGTTTGAAAAGTGCAGTCCTCCCCACGTCACCCTCTCCTGGGCGCTGTGCTCTGGCCCTGTTTATTCCTCTTTGCCCAAACATTGAACTTCAGAGTCCCCTGTCTAAAAGTCACTTTAAATTTTTTACTTTTTACCTTCAGTTTTGAACTAAAAACAGTGTTACCCAGTCGGACGGGCATCTTCCCCAGCTTCCAGCGAGGTCTGGCTGGCAGCTCTGATGGGTTTGGGGTGTAGCACAGGGGTGGGGAAGTCGGCAGCTCCACCTCTTTGTTCTGGGCAGGAGCGTGGGTGTCCTGTGCATGCGACAGGATGGTGCAGGACTCGACACTGAGGGGGTATTAATGTACTGTGTATGTTAATGTGGACTGAGGGCAAGATGCTACTTTTTTGTGACAGGAAGTACCCGAATCACAGAACTGGCTATGTTTTAATATGCCTCATGTGCTTTGCATATTGTAGGATCCAGTTGTTCTGGACTGGACACCAGAGCGGTTGATTTCATGTCAATAAAGCAAAGTAATTAACAGCTTTTTGGAAGACTGCTGATTCTTGGTTTTGATTTGTTTTGTTTTTTCCTGAATAATCTAATTTCCTGAAAGCCAGAGTCATAAAACTGTCATTTCCATGTGCACGCCTGTGTTCAGTTTTGTGTGGCTGCCTCAGCCACAGTGCCTGGCCCCGCTGTCTTACAGGGCTTATGCCAGGCAGGAATCAAGGCCTAGGAACTTTTCCTATGACTGTCACTTGGCTTTGCTTCCCTCCTGTGTGTGTGTGTGTGTGTGTGTGTGTGTGTGTGTGTGTGACAGAGAGAGAGAGAGACCAGAGAAACAGACACAGTCTTCCTCTCTAGTTCAGGTTGCTATAAACTCACTATATACCAGACTAACCTTGAGCTGATGACAATCCTCCTGCCTCAGCCTTCGGAATCTTGGGATTACAGGTTCGCTTTCCTCTTTGTTCCCTTCCTGTCTTGAAATTGTGGCAGGGCATTGGTGACAGTGCTTGCATCCTCATTTCCTTGCTCCCTCGGCCCCATCCCCCACCCACATGGTCTCAGGACAGTAGCTTCCTGGATGGAGCTGCGTAACTCTTACAGGGTCCCCTAGTGGAAGGCACTCCTTGTTCCTGGGATGAGTGGACCTTGGGTAGGACACCCTGGCCTCTTCCTGAGTGTAGGCACAGACTAGTGGTCCTGGCCCGAGCCTGCCATCCAGGCCCCAGCTGTCCAGCACTATGGGCCTGGCCCCCCATCCCCAGTCTTAGGTAACAGCACCAGACCTGTCACCAATCAGGATGTCCTGCCTGGGCCCCATCCTGGCCCAGGCCTGCAATGCCCACATGAAAAGCTCAGGCCTTGGGATGTTTTTTTACTGGGCCCAGCTAGTGGAGAACTCCCTGTGGCCCCAGTTAGTGGAGAACTGCAGGTGCCTAGGCCAGGAGACCCCTTGCTGTGACCCGATTGTCAACACCGCCCCCAGATGTTCAAAGCCATGCCTGGAGCTACAAGTGATCACCCAGCTGTGGCCAGCATGTCTCTCGTCTTCAGGTTCCAGGACTGTCTGCAGCCATCAGGAGGTTCTGGCTGGCACAGAGTCTCCCTGAAGTGTCTGCTAGGCAGAGGGGCCATACTTTTTGGTGCCACTGTGCACCTGGGCCCCAGGTATCTGAGCAGACCCAATACTGGGCCACCAGGAGCTGGTGTTCAGGGATGGGCTCACCCCATGCTGGCCAGGTTCTTGGAATCCTAGCCCCAGGTTGGACTGGACAGTGGTCCATGCATACTCGTGTGTATTGCAGTACAACGTGCAGTGGCTGAAACTTGGGAGCAGCCTTGATGTCCATCAGCAGATAAATAGATAAAGGAATTGCAGTATTTACACAACATGGAGTACTACTCTGCCCTAAAAGGATGAACTTGAGTCATCTGTAGGAAAATGGATGCATTTTGTTGTAGTCAGGATTTGCAAGGCCAACAATTTACTACAGGATACAGTTGATAGGATTATTTTATAATAAGTCACCCGGAGTCAAAAAGAATGGAGGAAGTCTGTCCACATACTAAAGAGCTAAAGAATCCAGCTGAAGGCCTGGATCCATGGCAATGTCCTGCTTGAAGACCTAGAGCCCAGTGTCTCATGCAGGTCTGTTTCGTGGATCTGTGCTGGGAAAGCCCAAAGATCAGTAGTGGAAACTAGAAAATCTATGCCAGGGGGATGAGGAGTCGGCGCTGGAGCCAGGAAGCAATGATCAAAGTAAGGACCCGGGTTCCCCCAAAAGTACCACAGCCATCCTCAGTGACAGCGGGGTCCTGAGCTCCTCCAATGATGTGAACAGCTGAGTTCATGTCAGGAAAGCCAGCACGACCACCTTTTCCAGGAGGACCGACAGCACCATCGTCCCCTCCATTTCTCCTTTCATGCGAGTTGGTGGCTGGCAGCAGTCCTTCCATGCCTAGCACCATGCCAACGCAGTTCAGCTGGTGTCACAAGCCGACTGCCAGTTGTCAGGGCACCCCACACTTTGAGAACATGTTAAGTGCAGTAAATCAAGACACACAAGCCTCAGTATTACATGGTTTCCCTGACATGCCAGACACAAAGTCTGAATAAGGAGCGCAATGAAAGACAGAACATGGAGGGCTGGGGACATAGCTCAGCAGCACATGCCTGCCTGCCAGGCACACGGCCCTGAGTTTAATTCCCAGGACCAAAATGAAATAGAATAGGAAAGTAGATTTTTTTTTTCCTTCATACACTAAAGAGATGGAGAGAGGGTGGGGACATAGAAATCTAAGATGTGTTATAAGAACACACCTGCGACCACCAGGGGTGGTGTGCTGCCAAGGGGCCAGTAACACAAATGAGCTGGACAGGGTCTTACTAAGCTAGATGCGCCCCTCTGCCTGTGCCCAGTGCTACCAGGTAGCAGCCCTGTCCCCCGGTGTGGCTGCTCGCAGCGTCTGGCCCCACTAGCAGAGGAAACTTGCTTTGAGGGCTCGGGCATCAGAAGCGGTGGGGCCCGCATCCCGCCTCCTTGCCTGAAGTTGGCGTCCTGAGACAGAAGTGCCTTGCTCAGTCTCCAGTGCTTCTCCTGCCAGGCACCCCCCAGCCACTCACAGCACGCTGCCCGAGGTCCCGTGTTTAACAGCTGAGTGAGTTGGTGTCCCCACAGCTGAAGGGGAAGCACTTTGCCCTTTGTTTGATTTTTCTTTTAATAAGTCTTTTGCAGTCCATAGAGCTCATGTTCCTCGAGGGGAGCTGGTGGGTGTGCACCACGCAGCTGAGTTCTTCCTGCATCCCCTCACCCCCACCCACCTCCTGATCCCCTTCCAGTTTGCAAAAGGTCTACACCGTGTCCCTACTATCTATCTTTGATTTTGCTCTTCACTGTATTTATATTTTGGGTTACTTATAAGAGAGTCCACAGGACATTTAAGTTTGTGAGTCTGACTTAGTTCACTTCACAGTATGGTCTCAAGGTGGGCCCATTTTCCTATAGATGGCCCAAGTTTATCCTTTATGGCGAAGGAGTGCTCCATGGTGTGTAAATTCTAGTTTCTCTATCCATTTCTGTGCTGATGGACACCTAGGCTGCTTCCAAGCCTAAGCTGTCATGAGCTGTGCTGCTATAAATATGGGTGCACGTGGATCACTGTGATGTGATGTCTCTAGCTCTTTCAGGATACCTAGAAGGGCAATAGCTGGGTTAAATATGTTTATGAAGAAATGTTCAACACCTCTGGCCAGAGGAGAAATACAAGTTAAAACAACACTGAGATTCCATCTTACTCCAGAATGGATATCATCAAGAAATCAGAAAGGGACTGGGGAGATAGCTCAGCAGTTTAAGAGCCTGCCTGGCAAGCACAAGGACTCGGGTTCAATCCCTGGTACTGTGTGCCATGCTGGCCCAGAAACCCCGGGTGCGCTGTGCAGGCCATCAGAACTGGGCATGGTGGCACAAGCCTGTAATCCCAGCCCTGGGGAAGCTGAGACAGGAGGATCACTAAGAGTCTGAACTGTGCAGTGAGACCCTGTACTGAATAAATTTTTAAAATAATGATTTAAAAAGAAATCAGATGATAACAAGGGTCAGCCAGATAGCTCAGTACATTAAAGTGCTTGCTTAGGCAGATGCAGGGATTGGGGTTCGATCCCCAGCCTGTGGTGCCAGCCCCACCCCCGGTGTGTGCTGAGATAGCAATTGAGACAGGTATGGTGGTACACATCTGTAATCCCAGTGCTTGGGAGGCCAAAAACAGGAGGATCACTATGAGTCCAATCTGTGTAGTGAGACCCTGTAGACCCTATACTAAGCACATTAAAAAAAATAGGAAGAAATCAGATAATAACAAATGTTGGTGAGGCTGTGGGTTTGGGGAGGGGAAAACCTCTACATTGTTAATGTAAACTAGTACTACCACTATATAAACTAGTATAACCACTATACAAACTAGTACAACCACTGTATAAACCAGCACAACCTCTAGATAAACTAGTACAATATCTGTATAAACTAGTACAGCCACTATGGGAATTAATATGAGATTCCTCAAAGCAATACATCTTTTCCCCTTTTTTGGAGAGGATTAGGGTACTGGCACATTGTATAACCCACAGCACCTCAGAGTTGGTACAATGTCCAGGTCCCTGCTGCCTGGATGTGCCCACCTTAAAACCAGCCATTGCATCCAGAGGAGGAGAATGTTCCAACTGATCAGACTCAGGCAGGCAGATGCCACTCCCAGTATGGGACAGTAGTGTCTCAAAGGACCAGCAGGGATCTCCTACCAGAAAGGTGGCCTAGAGGTGAGGAGTCCTAGTCCCAGTGTTCCTAAGCTCCTCCATGGAGAGCAGGGGACACTTTCAGAGTGCCGAGGAGACATCTGCAGTGTGTGTCCATGCATTTCCCAGGAAGGCAGATCAAATGGTCCCCTGATCCAGAGCATGCCCTTCAGAACCATGGGAGCTTCAGGAAGGTTCTGGAACTTTCTGGAAGTGCTGTTCCTCAGCCTTGAAGGACAGAGGCAAGGAAGACATAGAAGGTGGTTGAAGATGTGAGGCCACCCACTGTAACCATCAGAGTTGGGGAAGGGCACCTATCCTAGTCCTCAGTGACACTCCCAAACTTAGGTAGGATGGAGGAAAAGAGACATCTCTGGCCGCTATAATCTGCCTGGGGTGAGGTGCCAGCCCAGATCACTGTTACTGCCCAGGGTTGTCCAGGGCCCCAGCTCCCAAGCCAGGGAAACCTAAGAAAGTCATTCAGCCTGGAGGGATAAGCCTCTGGACGAGGGCAGAGGTTCACACAAACATCCTTGTGCCCAGGGTGACTGTCTCAGTTCATTCTCTGGGGGAGAAAGAACAGTATAGAACCTCCCACGTAAGTGCCCTGGGCCACAGTGAGGACACCAGGAAGTTGTTTCCCTGGTTATTGGCAAGTGCTGTCACTTAAATGGAAAGAATTTGCACTCAGACAAGGAAGCTTAAACAGAAAAACCAAAACCAAAGAGTACTCATGTGAAGATGGCAG